AAGCTGCGTGTTACACACTGTGCATTCCTCAACACGTGGACAATAAACTACAGCAGTTTTGCGGTCTTCGACCATAAACTTTTAATTTATTGCTTTCTTTCGAACTGCCTTGATTAATATTTCTGTGACCCACGGAGGGGGATTTCCCCCGTACCACACGTTCCGCACGGCACGAAGCCTCTGCAGTATCCTAACGTGTCTCTGCGACTAAAACACAAAATCTTCCTCCGAATGCTACCAGACAGGACGAAACTGTTGCACAGTAACAGTCTCGGACGATTGAGCCTCCCAATGGTTCGCACTACCATTGAGAAAACACCCAATTCGAAGTCGTGCGACATCTGCTTCAGGATACAACAGTACCACCCGTCGGGTCGTCCGATGTCGTGCCTTACGCATATATTACCAACACTGCACTGGTGCGATACGCACCCTGCTCGCATTGACCGCGAAACGGGACGGCACAGCTCAGCCGTTGGCCTTGGTGATGCACCACCCGCCTAGAAAAACCCCAGATCGGAGGACTCAAAGAGTTCCTCCACCAAGAAGCACAACGGCGAGCGCTACCTCAGAGAGACCCCAGTCTGTCTCTCGGCGGTGGCGTACGGTACTGATTGGCGATGGCCAGCTGTGGTGCACTATGAAGCGCTAAGTGTCGTTTGCCTTGCACTGCTTGATCGCCATGCGCCCCGCGCCGATTGGTGGCGTCAGGCGTTGCTTGCTTCCCGCTGTTTCTTTAGGTTCCCGCGAAATGATTCGCATGATGCCTGGGAATGACGAAAAGCACTCGGCAGAAAAAAGAGGAAAAAAAAAACAGAAGAAGGCGACAGGGCTGCGCTATCGTGCAGCCCGGGTTTCCAGATCTCGTGGGCATCCGAACGTACCCCGGACAGGTTGAATGGGATCAAGCCACGCGCGAGGCATGGTATCGTTTGTTTGTTCGTTTTTTCTGGGGGGAGGGGGGGTTACGCGGGGCCACGTCGAATTCCTTCTAGCGGTGCGGCTTACGGCGCGGCCCATGATAGACAATGGGACCGTACAGCACGTGGCTTCATTACAGGAAAGGAATAACAGTGGCTTCACCGTGGATGTCTCTGTAGATATCGTCGAGCGTCAATTATTTGGCGTGCATCCCATATTCACGAGCGAGCTGACCGGCAGGCACATGACAATGCCGACCCGAGGCATTTTAACCACAATTGTCCCCGCCCGCGTCATGGGGTCCATTTGGAAGACGCCTTATGAATGGTATAACTTATATTTTCTTGCGTGAACCAGCTTGTATGTCGTCTGAAAGCCTATCGGTTCACAGCGTGGTGCATCACCTGACGACTAGGTTGGGTTACCTACGGCGGGCAATATGACTCTGCTGCCCTGCGTAACCCCGCTAGGTCGCACCAAACGGATCCCCCCCGCCAATAGCCTCGGAGTTGAGACAACTCCGTTACATGTAAATCAAGTCGCCCATCTTTACATCGCTTGATGTAGCATACAAATCATGGGTTTGGTTTCCCGTTTGAACACCGTATCTTAGTTCTGCCATATGCTGCTTCCCTCCCGTACTGCGACGAAATCGATGGCAGCAAGGCACGCCTGCTCAAGAATGGCAACACGTGGCTTCATTGTTAGGCATAGACCANCGTTAGACTTGATCCACCCCTCTTACTCACGCGGACCCCACTTCCGAGTTCTCACGCAGGGTCTCGCTAGGTTTTCTGCAAGTCAGTCGCTTCTTGCGGGTGCCGAATATGCATATGTGCTTGCACGTGCGACATCGCCATCCATGTTGCTCTGATCACTCGGCCACACGGGTGAATAGCGGGCTAGCGGCTGCTCCTCGATTCTCAGGGGGGTATGCATGAGAACGTATCGAAGACGACCCTGTAGTATTCGGGGTGCCTGCCATCTCTGAGCGATCTCTACAGCTCCACAGCACCAGCAGCGCCAGCAGCGCCAGCAGCGCCAGCAGCGCCAGCGGTGATGCAGGCCGTGACAGCGAGCGGGACGCCAAAGGGCCAACGCCTCGGCGAAAAATCCGGGGATATATGGGTTATGTCCCCGCCCGCTCCCTGAAATTACACACCCCCGCTTCCCCCCCCGGTGTTTGCCATCGGGGTTGGGTTTTCGTCGCTTGGCAACGACGTTGTAAAACAAGCCGCCCCCCCCGGTGTTTGCCATCGGGATTGGGTTTTCGTCGCTTGGCAACGACGTTGTAAAACAAGCCAANTCATACGTAGCTGCCATCCGTACGCAAGGAAGTAAGCACAAGATGCCGAGCACCCTTAGCAGGATGCAGCGCACCCTT